CTTCTATCAGAAACATTTTTTTTCTTACTACCACTACTACCTTGGGACATAAATTTTTAACATTTCTATCTATTTTTTTTATCGTTTCCATTACGCAAATTAAAATGATAAAATTATAAACACAAAAATAATATGATTAAATATTCTAGAATTAATACACTAAATAAAAGCAAGAGAAGGAACGAATATCCCAAATTGTCAGAGTCCGAAAATAAAGAAAGAACCGTATTATTGATAAAATTTTGAACACTTGAAAGTTAAAAACTTCCACTTGATATTGTTAATTGCAAAATATAATATAAAATTGCTATTACAAGAGAGAATTAGAAGATTAATTTGATGTAGCAAAAATAAAGTAATGTGTAGCTAAAAATAAATTGTGTATTAATTTTTGGTTTTTAAAAAAAATGTCATTTTGGCACTTTTTCAGAAAGTGGCCAAAAGGATATCACCCACATTTTTTTTTAATTATCGGGCTGGTTCAGGCCGATGCACCGATGGACCGCGTACCGGCCTCTACCGAGCCGGCCTTATCAGCTTGTGGGAGAAAATAATCTTGACCGGCCCACCCCACTAATAAAGAGGGATGGTTGTCTAATAAAGAGGGATGGTTGTCGGGTCGGTGGGTCGACCTTAATGAGTCGAAACCAGACGGGCTGACCTAATTGACAGGTTTATGTGATATTCATATAATATTGAGCAACAACTATCCTTTTGTTGTATAGCCCTTACAAATGGAGAGAGTTTGTATAATCTAACTGACACAACCAGTGCTATTTCATTGAATTTTGTTCTAGGAGATTAGATTTATGTCCCTCTCCTATGTACTTTTGAGTTATTAATAAATAGTATAACTTACATAAATTTTATAGTATAAGACCTAAATTACATCTTATCCCTACTCTTTTCTATTTTACAAAAATCCCTTAAAATATCAGTCATCCGGATACATTAATACTGATACATTATAAAACTTATATGTTGTGCTTAATATGAAATATTAACATAAAATTGATTTTCTTTCCCATAAATCACGTATATCTGATTGATATCAATCCATTCCAATTTGTAACAGCTACACAAAATTCAAAATTCAGATTTTCATCTTCTCCATCAATTTGAAATCGTAAAAGTTCCACAAGAGGAATTGCCCTACTTTGTGTTGTTGCTCATCAACCTATCAATGTTAGCATCAATGGAACGATTGCTGATTTTCAATTGTTTAGAGGGGTACTCTTATCTGTTACTCCTTTTTTACACATTTCTTTGTCCTTTCTTCTCTCAAGAATCCCAAAAAAAACATGCACTTTGTTCTTTTGTATTATGAAAACATGCAGGGAATCTATGATGAAAGTTGTTCTAGTAGTCCAGATGACTTGAGCCATAGAGTACTAATAATAGTAGGATATAGTTCCGAAAGAAATGACTACTAATGGATAATCAAGAACTCATGTGGTACATCATGGGGAGTGGAAGAGTATGGCATGGATATATAAAAAGAAACAGTGATTTGACATATGGTGTTTGTGTCATTAATTCATTGCCTTCTTATCCAACGAAGGAGTTATCTTTTGTATGATCTCCTTATCCATCTCCGGCCGTTCAACCACCTCCTCCACCATTCCATCTGCCCTCTCCACCATTCCCTCTGCCCTCTCCACCATTGGTATATAGTTTTTTTTAATGTATCATTGTTTATAGTTTTGTTTTGTCATTTTGTTGTGAATATGTAAGTCATAATACATAGTGATTATAAATGACCCGCACATATTGTAATTTTGTATCTATAGATTATGATGTGGTAATTATTTTATATCCGGATGTGATTTGTGTAAAAATGTATCAGCATAATATATTGTATATGATATATGTAATAAATGGATTAACAATTGAGACAAATCAGATACGTTTTGAATATCGAGTGTGTGTATCACAAATTTGTATAATGTATCAGGTTATTATTGTGTATATTATACATATAAATAGTGTAACAATTAAGATATGTAAATTACTTGTTTTGATCAAGACAAATGTGGATGATACATTAATATGTATATCAAACTTGAGTTTTTGTGAATGATTATATCATTGATAATTGTAATGTACCCAGTACATGTTATAATATGGTTACAAAATTGTGTCGATATGTGGTAGTTTGTTGTTAGATAAGTGTTGCTTTGAAAATTGAAAAAATGTATTTCATACAATGTATCACTGGATTTTTTTATGTTTGCAAATTGTTCAATGTCGTCTAAGCTTTTATGTATGAAGATTATTATTGGGTAATATGTACACATACATCGTATTCTAAGTTGGATAAGGCTGAACAAACATTAATGAGTGTAGATACATAACACACAACTAATTTGTTACTGTCTATATAGCCGTTTAAATTTGAATAAGATTGATGATACATTGAAAAACTTGATACATGCAAATGATACATTAGGTAGTGTTTATGTATCAAATACATTTATATTGAACATGATAAAATTAATCAAAGATTCAACAACATTAGGGTTATGTATCAAGACCTTAAATATGAATATTAGGGGTGTACAAAGACCGGGTTGGTTCGGATTTTTCAAATATCAAACCAAATCATTTGTGCAAATTTTTAAATTTATAAACCAAACCAAACTAATAAAATTTGGATTTTTTCGAGTTTTTCAACCTCGGGTTGGTTAGGGTTTTTCAAATACCAAACCAAATCATTGTGTCGAATTTTTTAAATTTATAAATCAAACCAAACCATAAAACGTCAGATTTTTTTTCCAGATTTTTGGATTTTTTCGATAAAGTTTGCATACAAACATATAATTAACTTGTGCTCCAAATATTTCTTTAGTTCAACCAAAATACAATTATCTAAGGTGTTTCTTAAAGAAAATAACACAAAATATGAGATGAGTACTGATGACACTAAAATATTACAAATAAAAAATAATAATGAAATCATCATATAAAATAAATATTGCAAAGTCAGAATGAAAATGAATCATAATTTAAAAGTACTAAATCATGCTAAAATAAGTTTAATAAGTATGAGTTACATTATTGAATATTTAAGAAAAATTAAAATTAGATTATGTATTTTAATTGTCTAAACCAATGTAAAACTAAAAAACAAATATTCAATACTATTGTCATTCTTAGTGTTGAATTGATTTTCTTTTTGCATTAATATTAATTTGATTTTGATTTAAGTTTTATTATAATTATCAACATCTATGAACTATAATCTTTATTGGATCATTCAGAATTCTAAGTTTTAAACTTGAAATAATATATTAAAAGATAAAAACTATGAAGTAGTATAAGAAATAATTTAAAATTATATCGAAGTAAATATTTTTATGTATAAAATAAAATTTTAAAATTACATATATAATGTCGGGTTGGTTTGGTCTCAGATTGCTTTTTTTAGTTAAAACCAAACCTACCCAAATATAGTCGGATTTTTTTTTCCAATACCAAACCAAGTCAAACCAAACCACTAGTCGGATTTTTTTTCCGATTTGACTCGATTTGCGGTTTGGTTTGATTTCCGGTTCGATTTTGTACACTCCTAATGAATATGATACATTGCATAAAATAAGGATGAACAAAGCATCAGATACAATGGATAATCATATGTATCAGGAAAAAAAGGGTAAAAACAATTATTTTTTTTTGAAAAAGAACAACAATGGAGAATATGAAAAGTACATAATTCAGCGGTTTAGATGATAATTGTAACTGATAAGATTGTGGAGTGAAATTAGGAGAGATTAAAGGAGTGAAAAAAAGAAAGAAAAAAGCGTGGGTTAAGGCTAAAATACTTATGTATCCGATTGACTTGAGAATTGAGTGAAAATAAGGGATATTAATAAATATGATAGTGGTGTATGCCAAATCCTATATCACTATGGGAAGTGAAAAAGTTTATGCTCCTATGTACATTTATTTAATTTATTAATAAATATGATAGTGATTTATGTCTAATCCTATATCACTATGGAAAGTAAAAGTTTGGGTGAATAAATTTTATTTTTAAAAAATCTATGAATTCGTTGAACAATACTGGAGGTGATCCCATCTTAGCTCCATATAAAAGCCCAACAATCTACTACACTATCTATATATGCTGCCTTAGGAGGATGACAATTTTGATATACTATATTTATTAGTTTTAAAGTCAATAATCCGAAGTAGTATCTACATAGCTCCATTTACATCTTCGACTGCTCCTTAATTATCACTCCCTCCGTCCTAAAAATAAATCGAAACTTATAGAAATTTCACTAGTTTAAGAGTTAATTACTTATATTTTGTAATATTATGAATCTTATTAAATTTTGTTGCGTCTAAATACGTCTAAGTACATGTCTCTCGGGATACACAAGGTTAAAATTATGTGTAATTTGTTTTAGATACATTGTATCCAAGTGGATTCACATATATCTAGAATACAAATCAAATCTCGCTCGCCACTCTCTTATGTGTCTGGTATCCCAAATACATGTGATCACACCAGATACATACATATACATGTATTTAGTGTGTATCTAGTGTGATTCGCATGTACCTACGATACATGACTATCTCGCTCGCTTCCCTCCTCATCTCACTCGCCACTCCCTATTTTAGTGTATCTGGTGACAAAAATACATGTATCTAGATATATCTAATTATCGTCGTCTTACACGTAAATCGCCCTAAATTGGAAACTCAACAAACTATACCTATAAATAAGACTCCTTGTAAACAGTAATAGTCACGAAATAACACCATTTTGACTTTCATTAGCCATGCACTCTATGACTTTCTTCCAATTCACCATTCCATCGATTGTATGGGCGTCACCTCCCCCTACAACCACCACCATACCCCGTTGTAAATCATTGCAAAGGCCTTTTCCGGTCTCTACGGTGGCTTCATCACCTATAGGGCCACCTCCATCGCGCCACCACGTAACTCACTCAATGCCACATGAAAAGAAGTCTTCAAGTCACTAGAATCTTGGGTTTCCAAAAATCTCCTCGATTTTCCCAAACCCGTAGAGAAATGTTGGCAGCCTAGTGAATTTCTCCCTGACCCTTCTCAAGGGTTCGATGGATTTAACGAAGAGGTTTGGGCACTAAGACAACGAGTTTTAGGGCTTCCGGACGAGTATTTTGTTATGCTTGTGGGTAATATGCTAGCTGAAGATTCATTACCTACTTATCAAACCATGATTAATACGTGGGACGGAGTGCGCAATGAGACTGGGTCTAGTTCATGTCCATGGGCAATCTGGACTCGGTCATGGAAAAAGAGGAAGAAAAGGAGGAAGAAAAGGAGGAAGAAAAAGAGGAAGAGGGAAAAGAAGGAGAACCGACATGGTAATTTGCTACGAACTTACATTTATCTTTCAGGCAGAGTTGATATGATGATGATTGAGAAGACAATGCAATATACTATTCGAGCTGGAATGGTAACTGTAATTATCTCAGAAACAAACTATTCCTTCTGTTCTTTTTTACTTGTACAGTATGCATTTTGTACTCCTCTTAAAAAAAAACTAACGATATCGTGTTTGTATATCTTATTAGGACAATGGAACAGAGAACAATCCATATATGGGCTTTGTGTATACATCATTTCAAGAGCGAGCAACATTTTTGTCGCATGGCAATATGGCTAGGCTAGCTAAAGAGGCCGGAGACCCTGTACTATCCCGTATATGTGGAACCATTGCAGCAGATGAGAAGCGGCATGAGAATGCCTACATAAAAATTGTTGAGAAATTGCTTGAAGTGGATCCAAATACAACTATGTTAGCCATTGCAAACATGATGAAGAAGAGAATTGTGATGCCACAACATCTCATGTATGATGGGCAAGATTCGAATTTATTTGAGAACTACTCCGCCGTTTCCCAAAGGCTAGGGGTTTACACAACTCGTGATTATGCTGAAATAGTAGAGTTTTTTATAACACGATGGAAATTGGAAAAGCTTGAAGGCTTGACAGGGGAAACGAGGAGTGCACAGGATTTTGTTTGCAAATTTCCACTTACAGTTAGGAAGTTGGAAAATCGAGCCAAGAAAGTAGAACCACGTCGAGTGAAATTTAGTTGGATTTTCAATAAAGAAGTGAGTGTTTAGATGAATTGATCATTTGAAAGAAGTATGTAAACCAAAAGCTTATCCTTTCACTAATAGCCTTTTTGGCTAAGCTATATTAATAAATCTATATTGATACGTCCTAATGAAGTCTTGGAAGGGTAGAGGATGTAGCAAACCCTTACCTGTGTTTACCCTTAGCTAAAAAAGTAGGAAAGTAAGAAAGAAAAAGAACAAAATAACAATGCACCAAATAAGTGTAGAAACAAATATTAATACACATTGGAGAAAAAAACTATGCGATACCTAAATCATACTACTAGAAGTATGACAACATACTCGACTACCTATTAACCTTTTGTCCTAAACTCCTAATCCTTGACCTTCAAGTCTTTTTATCTGGGGTCATGTCCTTATTCAGCTGAAATTGTGTCATATCTTGTCTAGTCACAAACAATTAGTAGTATGACCTTGAAATTACATAGCAAATTCTTATTTGTTTTTTAACATTACAAACAGCTTTACACAGTGAAGTGATCACACAAAATTCATTCTGTTTGGAATCTGTATGTCTGCTCTCTTTAAAAGTTCAGCAGAGGCATGCTTGGCCATTGATAGAACTTCTTCCTGTGCAGAAAAAAATTCCAATGTGACACTCATTCACAGAATACATATTTAACCTAACAAAGTATATGAAACAGTATGATTTTAAGTATGCAATGTATACCTCGTCTACGGTTAAGATCTTCTTATCTTTCATAATCCAACAGCCGTTGCACATAACAGAGACGATTTTCTCAGTTCTCATGCAATAAACAAGGCTGGAAATGCTGCAAAAGTCATTAAAAGAAACTTGTGTAACATTCTGGTGATCACTAAAGAGGATGATATCATAAACCGGAATAATTGGAAGTACAATATATCGAATGAAACTAATATAAAGTTCATTTCTTCAAAAGAATATATCGGGACTATGTATTCCCAAAGAGTAAAATGTTTTCACATTTAAAGAAGAAAGGAAACCTTGATTTCCAAAAGAGCCTTTGAGCTAGTTTTCAGTTAAAGAGTAAATGCTTTCACAATTAAGCAAGAGAGAGAAACTTTTATTTCCAAAAGAAGCTTTTGAGCTACGTTTTGAGCAATTATCTCAAACCACAGAAAGAAGTATGTTTTTAAACATAAGAGCTAATATCAGATT